TGAACGAAAGTCCAAGACTTTGTGAAATGCATGGTGGGTTGATACATTCAACAACACCGTGTACTTTGACACTAGTTATTTTTAAACCTACAGGGCAAAATTGTATCATTAGAATTGTTAAACTATACTTGTTCTAAATATACTTGTTAAATAATTATTAATATTAGACCTTTTATGTCGCCAATTGATAGTATTATAGTCCTATTTGATTTCTTATCACAAAAAAAGAAGTGAAATTTTTGATAACAAATTATTTATGTTCTTTTTGAATTATAAAGATAATACATGACTGCCATCACTACATTCAAGATCCAAAGGTGATAACAAATATTCTTATCCTAAATCAAGGCTCCCAGCTATCAAATATCTGTCTATATATTATACAAGAAGACAGAATCTTTCTCCATCATCTCCATCATCATCAATATTAAAACAACGTGGATTTGACGACTACCCAAAAATCATAACTAAAAAAAGATTTTGGAATTTAACAACGGCAGCAAAAAACAATCTGAAAATTATAATCAAATCTCGTTGGAACCTTCCATTAGAATTGAGAAACCTCCACTGATGCTTATAGAATTAATTAATGTATATAAAACGGTGAAAGGAGTTTTTGGAAATGGTTACTTGAAATTTGGTCTAGAGATAAATTTAACTTGACAAATGATTCTAAATGTTTAACGATAAAATATATAGGAATGGTTTAGAATGAATTAAACACATTCTAAAAAATAAAAATATGATACAATGGAAAGAAAGTCACCATCATTTATACCGCCATCACCATAATCATCATCAATATTATGGGATCAGACTAATACAATATTAATAGATGATTTACCACTTAAAGCCCATAACGCCAATACATTTAAAAGAATTTATTTAATCGAGAATTATTTGTGATAGAAATGATAGTGAAATATTGAATATTTATTTGAATATTATCATCCTTATGGTAGCAATTAAACATATTGAATCAGTAAGCGATAATACAAAAGTTTTATGAAGAAATAATTGAATTAGATTTAGATGAAGAAGGTTTATAACTATTTATTATTTAATTATAATAATTTTGCAAGATATTTTTTCATAATATATCTTTATTTTTGAATTTTGCAAAAAAAAAAAACGCGTTAAATTTTTTCATCATGTGATTTATTTCTTTCGCAAGGGGGGAATTGAAAAAAATTTTTTTTTTGTAGAATTTACTTTTAACTCTTTAAAAATTAAATTTCATAATTAATAATAAATAATGGCATCTGTACATGGTTGGGACCAAGGAAAAATTTACACTTCCTCTTTAAATTCTAACAATAGATCACAAACAAGGGATTCGCGTACTAGTCTTGAACAAAGGCTTTACAAGTTTGTTGATGAGTTTCGACTTGGTGACCACTTTATCTACAGGTCTTTACCTTATTTTTATTCAAGATTAAGATTAAAAATTATTCACACACACACACACATATATATTTAAAATGATAATAATAATTGCACTTATCATTATTATATATTTTTTTGTGTTTTATATTGATTATTACGCGTTTTTTATATTTAATACTTATATAAATTATCCAATATTAACATATATTTTTAATTATATATAGAGATGAAATAAAATTAAATGCATTAGCCAAAGAATATTATGTTGAGATTCAAATTGAACATCTTGAACTTCAAGATCGTGATTTGTTTGAAATATTTAAAAAGCACCCGTCTGAGATTATACCATTAGTAAAATATTAAAAATATATTTTTTGAATAAATTTCTAATGAAATAAATAAATAATTTATTATTGATAACATATTTTTAAAAGCTTGAATCTGCAATTAGAACACGTGCTCAAAGGACCTTGAATCAAGATGATATTCCTACGTTTCAAGCTTTACTTAAATATTCTCAAAAAGAGATTATTAATATGCGTCAATTGAGTGTAAGTCTTTTTTTCCAAATTTAATTATGAAATATATTGTTTCCCAAATTAAAGCTTCGTTAATCAATCGATCATATAAATATTTTGTAGGCAAGTTCTATTTCTAATCTTGTCCGAATCTCTGGCATTGTAATAGCTGCTACAAATTTAACTTCTAAAGCAACACATATTCATATAATGTGTAAAACTTGTAGACATTCAAAAACACTTGTAGTTTCTGGTGGTTTTTCTGGAATCTCACTTCCTAGAGCTTGTGATGGGTAAAAACAAAGCAAAACCATTAAAATCTCCAAATTCTTTAGAAAATTTAACTAATTAATTAATTTTTTTTTGGTAAAAAAAAATAAAGTGATCAAACTGGAGTGGGTCCAAAGGATTGTGGTTTAGATCCATATGTTGTTTTGCATGATAAATGTTTATATGTAGATCAACAAGTATTGAAAGTTCAAGAATGTCCTGATCTACTTCCAGTTGGTGATTTACCACGTCACATAACAGTTCACGTTGACAGGTAAATAAAGAATAATAGTAGAACTTTTAAAATGATACAAGTTAATTATAATATAATAGTACATTAAAAAATTTTTATTGTTATTATTATTAATTAATTATTTTATTTTATTTTATTTAAAAAAGATATTTGACTGATAAAGTAGCACCAGGAAATCGTGTTAATATCTTGGGAATTTATGATATTTATCAAAACTCTTCTGCAAAGGTATATTGTATTCGTAGATGATGAAAAAATTCAATTAATCTTAATCTTATTATCGTTATTGTTTATAGAGACAAAATCAAAGCATTGGCACAAGAATACCTTATGTAAGGGCACTTTCTATTGAATTTGATGAAAATCAAAGTGGAACAAATCATAATACATTTACACACTCAGAAGAAGAAGAAATGATTCAAATGTCTAGAAACCCAAATTTCTATAATATTTTTACTAGTAGTATCGCTCCATCAATTTACGGAAATGAAGGTAAAAACAAAAACAACAACAACAACAATAATGTTTACATCCAATTCATAAAAATAAATAAATACTTTTTTTCTAATTGTTACTGTTAGATATTAAGCGTGCCATAACTTGTTTGCTTTTTGGTGGAAGTAAAAAAATTTTAGAGGATGGTATGCGCCTTAGAGGAGATATTCATGTTTTGTTATTAGGTGATCCCGGTACAGCAAAAAGTCAATTCTTGAAATTTGTTGAAAAGGTTTTTATCAATTTCTCATAATCATAAATAAATAATAAATATAATAATAATCATTATTACATAACTAGATTGCTCCGGTTGCTGTGTATACTTCAGGTAAAGGAAGTAGCGCTGCAGGTTTAACAGCAGCCGTTATTCGTGATCCTTCAACTGTAAGTGTTTATTTTTATTTTTTTTTGAAATATACTTGTTTAAAGCAAATAAACGAAAATCAAAATATTTTTAGGGCGACTTTTATTTGGAAGCAGGCGCAATGGTTTTATCAGACGGTGGTGTAATTTGTATAGATGAATTTGATAAGATGCGAGAAGAAGATAGAGTAGCTATTCATGAGGCAATGGAACAACAGACTATATCTATTGCTAAAGCTGGTATAACCGCTGTTTTAAATACTCGTGCATCTGTTTTGGCTGCTGCTAATCCTCAATTTGGCCGTTATGATGACATGAAAACCCCTGGAGAGGTAATTTAACCCAAAATTTTGTTTTATTTTAGGGATATTCCTTTTTCATTATTATTATATGCTAACTATGTATATTTATATAATAATTAATCAGAATATTGATTTTCAAACCACTATTTTATCAAGATTTGATATGATTTTTATTGTTAGAGATGAATGTAATCAACAAAGAGACATGGTATTGAAAGAAAATACATTATATGTGTATATGTATATATGTATATATATTATTCATTATATTAAATGTTTGATATTTATTTACTTATTAAAAAAGAATATAGCAAGGCATGTAATGAATGTACATATGCATAAGACTCAACCAGAAGCTGAAGGTGAATTGGAAATAGTGAAAATGAAAAAATATATAAGTTATGCTAAATTGTAAGTAATAAATGTAATCTTAAATTCACCAACGCCAATTCATTCTTCTAATAATATCATTCTTTTTATTATTAGAAAATGTGCACCACGACTTTCTGATGAAGCAATTGAAAAATTAAGTAATTATTTTGTTACAATCCGTGATGATGTAAAACGATTGGAACAAGATAGTAAAACAAGATCTTCAATACCAATTACTGTAAGGTAAACAGAAAATGGTCCGATAATAATTAAATAGCCATTAAATTTATTTATTTTTATTAATCAAAAAAAAAAAAATAGACAATTAGAAGCTATTATTCGTATATCAGAATCTTTAGCAAAAGTTACACTATCACCATGTGTATCAGAAGAACATGTTGATGAAGCAATGCGATTATTTAAAAGTTCAACTGTGAATGCTTTACAAGTTGGTGAAGGTAGTAAACAATAATAATAATGTATTTTTCTTTTGGGAAAGAATTGTTTATTAATTAAGATTTGTCTATTATTTATATTGTAAAAGTTGAAGGAATGTCACATACGGAAATGTCTAGTCAGGTTCAAGTTGTCGAAAGAGAAATAATAAATCGACTTCCAATGGGTTCAAGAGCCTCCATACAACGATTAACAACTGACCTTGAAAACGTAAGTATTATCATTATTTATCATTTAATTATTTTAATATTGTTTAACTAATGTTTAAAATTTTTTTTCAAAGCATTTTCCTGCTGTAATAGTAAAACGCGCAATAGATATACTTATCAGAAGAGAAATGATTCAGTATGTTAATCGTGGTAGAATGATTTACAGAATAGGTGGATAGACATTCGTTAAATAATAAACCGATTAGTTTGTACATAAATTATGTGAAAATTTTTTTTTTATAATTAAATTCCCCTTTTATGCCCATGCAAGCTAGCTGCTAGAGAGTATGTATTAATGCTGCCTACTACGTACATTAATGTTGCCATTTAGCCGTTTGACTGTTTTGGCTGACAAATTTCCAAGAAATTACCAGTGTTTTTACAACTTTAAAGGAAAAAATTTATCAAGCTAAATGGGTAAGTCTATTAATATTAATATTTAGAATGCTCTCAATTACCATCGTCAAAAATGTCAATAACTTGGCATAAAAATCAGACTCGGACAGTATTAGAACATGACATTTTGTTTGCCCACTCTATGCCTCTTTCTATCTAGTATACAACTTCTGTATTGAATACCACGAGTGCATTTTTCGTGCTTCTCCTCAATGTTAAAATGCTGACAAGTATTTCATTTGTTTGTAGTTCATTTGGTAACTCATTCATCTTGTGCAGTGTGAAGGCTTACCCGCAAACTCAGGCGTCTTTTTATTTTCTTATTATATTTTTAGCCTACTCGAACATTTTAGATGCGCGCGTGTCAGAATGAGCTGTGCGTCAAGATCAGTGGATAAATTTTATTTTTTTGTTTTACATGTTGAATGACAAACGATAAAGAAAAACGAAAAAATATAAATGGTTTAAATAGTGTTCGTTTACACAAGAAAACATTAAAAATTTTTTATCATTATTGCAAACTGTTTAATCCATCTCGATTAATCATCTCAACTGGTTGACAGTGGTGTCTTCTCTATTGTTGTGATTTGGATGAGATTGAGTTATTTGTCATCACGAAATTCCTAGTTAAATCTTAACAGAGTCACCAACACCACATCATGATTTTTATTTATTAAAATTAATCACACAAATTGTTTGTTTGTTAATAACATACTCACATGTTCCTTGCCATCCTCCACCACAAACCCTTCCCATGGTTCGAAATATTGCGTTGGCATCAAATGTCGATATTAAAGAATCTGGGCCCACGAACCCTTTGCATTCGATTGCTTTATTGTTTATATATATTAATTAATGTGTAAACAATGATATATGTTCACATAACAGATCATCCATTTTTTTTTAATATCCAGTTTAAGGCGAGTTGGGATAATGATGGATCAAAAAAAAAACAGAAACATTATCAATTATTCGTTCCGTATGGAATATCAACATTAACGCATCTTGCTGCAACATCAGATGATTTTCTTTAGCAAGGTGATACTAAAGTAGACTACAATGAATCTAAAGCTTTTAAATCATTAAAAAGAAAATTGAATTATCAAAGAATTAAAGACCAAACACAAACTGGCTTTACATCATTTTCAAATAGATAATATTTTTTTTTATTTATCGTGTATATTTGTATTTTAACCCAAATAAAATAGACTTTATCGATTGTCGATCCGATCACTTTTTGCTACAACGAATTTAACATTAGATGGCCAGTCCCATCGTTTACGCGTTTAGAATTGATGCTTTCAAAAAAATTTTTTTATGCGAAATATATAGAATTATAATAATTTCCAATAATGACACCCAGAACAGTGGTAAACGTGAACGATGATTAGATTGTAGAACTAGTCAAAAGCTATCAAATATTGTATCAATAATTTTCTGATAAGCATGCAATATTTTCTTTTTAGGTTTTAAAGTTGGTCAATTGTTATTTGATGGGTTATTGTGGCGTGCACTATACAAAATGGATTTGGATAATAGAATAAATTGAATCAAAAATCATAATTTTGGTCCTGAGGTCCCAGAGGTTGATTTCCTAGTCCAATTCCCATATATTTATTTATAATATTATAATTTATTTATTACAAGGAGAATATATCTATTAATTCTTGGAAAAGCTTATAGCAATAATTAATAAAAATTTGTATATTCAAAATTGTAAGGTTGTGGGCGAAACTCCTCCAGAAATCAATTAACAGAGTTTCGACAGATTACACATTAATTGTTAATTAGAGTTTCGGCAGAGTTTCGCATTTGGGGGTTTTGTAAATTGTCAGAGTTTTGACAAGATATATACTAATTGTTCGACAGTCACTAAGAGGTTTCGGCAAGCAACATTAGACAGACACAGTATACTATATAACTCTTTCTTGCCTGACTCTTTCTCTTTAGCTTTTAAAAATTATATTTTATAGTCATTATCGGTTCTTTTGACCAAATTACACTGTTTATTTAAAAATCATAATCTTTTTAGACGTTTTATTTGTTGTAACACAAGATGTGTAACATGTAAATCATTAGAAAAATTTTCTTCGATTTTTTTTTCACACATCAATATGAGTGAATTTGAAAAGGTAAATTAATAATTTAACTCGTGAATTAATTTTATTGTTTTTTTTAATACTATTATATCTGATTTTGAAAAAAGGCTGTTATTATTGATGCTAAAGGACATTTATTAGGACGTTTAGCATCAATTGTGGCCAAACAAATTTTAACAGGTCAAAAAATTGTTATTGTCCGTGCAGAAGATTTAAATGTATCTGGATCATTTTTTAGAAACAAGAGTAATTAAATCAATAATTCTTTTTGACTTTCTTTTTAAAAACTTCTGTTTCATTGACCTTAATGCAAATATAAACTCACACATATATAAATATAGTCAAGTATCATTCCTATCTTCGCAAGCGATCAATTGTAAATCCAGCACGTGGACCATTTCATTTTCGGGCACCATCCAAAATCTTTTATAAGACAATACGTGGTATGATTCCACATAAATCATCACGTGGAGCTGCAGCGTTAAAGCGTCTTAAGATCTTTGAGGGTATACCACCACCATATGATAAACAAAAAAGAATGGTAATACCTGATGCTTTGAAAGTTTTGAAATTGAAACCAGGTCGTAAATTTACAACAATTTCACGTTTATCAAAAGAAGTTGGATGGAAATATAAAGAAGTTGTTGAGAGATTAGAGGAGAGACGTAAAGCCAAGAGTAAAGAATTTTATGAACATAAAAAGAAAGAAACTCAAATCAAGGCCAATGCTCTAAAGAACAAAGAAAAAGAGTTAAAGAAAGTTCAACAACAACTCAATGCATTTGGTTATTAATTTATTTGTTTAATTTACAATAATAAAAAATAATTTTTATTCAATTCGTTTACATTCTCTCTTTAATCATTTAAGCATGCATTTCCTTGAAATTTTTCGTTTTGAAATTTTATCATTAAAAAAAAAAGAATAGCATAATGTTTTTATTTTTACTTAATATTTAAACAGTTCAAATTATACCAATGTTTGATGTAATTGATGGATGATTGGTTAAATAACAGGTCAACATTTGCTCATACAAGAGCAAAATCATTGGCAAGAGTAAATTCAATTAAAAATAATTTAATTAGAGGCAACAATTTAAAGTTGACATTTTGATTGCAATTCCAGGAAAGATATATATAAAGATTCATGGTAATTAATGTTACACTAAAATCAAGTTTATAATACATACTAATATCATTTCTACATTTAAAGACTTCAATCAATCAAAAACATCAATATTTATTTATTTTGATGTTTTAGGATGTACTTGGTTTCTTCTTCTTTTCTGCTTCCGCCTCTTTCTCTTTCTCAATTTCATTTACTATAACTTCAACTTCTTCAATTTCTAAACTCTGTATGTTTATGAATTATAACAATATTAATAATGATTAAAACCATTTCAATTAAAGTTGCATAACCTATAAAGATCTGGTAATAGTAATAATACCAAAATTGTTAAAGGGTTGTTTACCTTAATTATAGCATCATTAGTCATCACTGCAATCTCAATATTTTTGGCACCAGTTTGCACAACCTAATAAATTATAAACTGTTATTATCAAATATATACACACATGCTCGTCTATATATAACAATTATCATACTTCTAAGAGAGATTTAACAGCCAGTTTTATAGTTTCATCTTTTGATAAACCTTCTTTATAATTTTTTTCCAAAAATTCACGAACAGTTTTTGAACTCCTTCCAATTGAATTTGCCTTTTGATTTTTTTTTAAAAATTTTTATCAAATTTAAAAAACTCTTTTAATTAAAACATTTAAAAAAATAAGCAGCATTTGTAATGTTTACCTTCCATGCTGAATATATGCCAGATGGATCAGTTTGATAAAGTCTTGGTACCTTATCATTAGCATCAAATCCAATAATAAGTGTTGAGATGCCAAATGGACGTACACCACCACTTTGTGTGTATTTCTAAAAATAATAATAATATCTAAATATTTATTCAATGTTTAATTGAGCGAGAGTATTTAAAATACATACCTGTTGAACACCTGCAATGTAACGTGTAATATATTCAACAGTTACGGGATCTTCAACAGTAAGTCTATGACTTTGACATTCTATTCTAGCTTTGTTAACAAGAACTCTTGCATCTGCACTAAGACCTTTTACAATTCATTAAGAATATATTTTAATGTTTTTATTATTAATTTATAATCCTTCATTCCCCAAAACAATATGGATCATTAATAATAATAATAATAATTCTGTACCAGCAAATGCCATGCATACATGATCATCTAGCATGACAATCTTTCGTACAGTACGTGGATCTTGTAATTTAAGAACAGATTTTTTTTCAACACCGAGAACAACACAATCTTCACCACGGACTCCCACCTATATAACGAATTAATTGAAACTTTTAATTTATTGCCAATAAACATAAAATTGATTGAAATTCGTTAAACGTAAACAATAAAGATAAAATACCGCACAGGTTCCTTTTCTAACAGCTTCTAAAGCATATTCAACTTGAAATAAATGCCCATCCGGTGAAAAAACAGTTAATGCTAGAAAAAAATAACTAAATTGAGTTAATTATAATCTCATATTAAAAATCAGAGTTTAAATAAAACAAGAAAATTTACCGCGATCATAAGAGCCAGCCATTATTATTTATTATTTTTGAAAAAAAAATTGTTGCAGATTTAATTGATGTGCAAAATCGGGGTTACGTAATTCAGTCTGGGATTTTACCATAATCGGTATGTGAGATGATCTTACCATATACAGTCTGAAATTACCATATCGGTATTCATGACGATCTTTACCATATATGATAAAGAATGGATCACATTTTAAAAACTCAGTTTGATAATAAAAGATTTTCCAAAATCTTTTATACTAAAAAAACCATTAAAATGTTATAATCAATTGATCGGTTAAAATAGACAGCTTCAAAAAATTTTAATATTAGCATATATTATGGGTCAAGTTATATATTAAACTTAATTTTGGTCTGGGTCGAATCATATAACAAACAGGAATTTTTGTTACTGACCTTGTCTATGAAGTTTGCAGGGTCCTGCTCTAACATTAATGATGTTGGTGCAATTGCACAGAGTTGTCATAAATTGAAATATTTTGACGTTGCTGGCTGTATCATTTCTGATTCACCAATTTGTAATGTCGCCCATTTTTATCCGAATTTAAAAACTTTGGTCATAATGACATCGACGATATGGTTATTGAAGCAGTAGCGTAAACATGTCATGATTTAGAATATCTTGATCTTGGAGGCTGTTCATTTGTTACCAATTCGTCTATGTGTGATATCATCATCCACTCTTCAACATCTCAATTTTAGCTTCTGTGTTATTTCTAATGCGTCTATCAGAGAAATAACTCATTCACGTTATAACCTGAAATTCCTCGTTGTAAAAAATATTAGTAGTAAAGTGATAAGCAGACTTAATCCAAGTATCCATATAGAAGATCTTGAATCATAGTTATCATCTCCAAGGGTCTTTTGGCAAATCAAATCAAACGTTTTGCAACAGTAATCAACAGATAATAGGTTGCCTAAACTATAAATAGTTTCAGCAATAATTACCCTTGTATGAAATAACTATGCCATTTGATATGTTTTAATCAAATAATTTCCGCAATAAGATCATTTATTAAGAGAGGTGGTTTCGGCGACTATCTATAATTGATGTATGCTTTTAATATATATATAGTGTAATAATTTTCCTACTTTGGTAAATGCTTATATTTTCACCAGTTATAATTTTTATTATGTGTCATAGTAATGGATATAGATGATTAATATTATACATATTATAAAAAAAATCTATTTTGATCCCAAATTCAGCTTTGCTATATAGAAAACTCCGAATCATTTTTTTGGTCACCGATTATTAAAAGTTTAATTAGTAGATTTCGTCACTTCTCGTCAAGTATGAAGACGATTTGAGAAATTATTATCCCCGCCCTGCAAAGTAATTCTTAGACCATTATCGTCAAATTAACAACGATTTGACGAAATAATTCCCCGCCTTTCAAAGTATTCCGTTAACCATTCTTGTCAGTTGATATATTTGTACAATTCGGGCGTGGTATTATCTAGATAAACATTTTTTATTTACAAATATTAATTTTGTACGTTACTCAAGGTAATAGTATAGTATAGTAATTAGTGCACGTCGTAGTTCCTTCACTTGTTCTTAGAAAGAATATCTACTTTTTTTTCTCTTTCAAAATTTATCTTCCTTCTCCTCTTTGTAATCCTCCTTCCTTAACTTCTTTCTTAATCTCTCCAACTTTTCAGCATGTCTTTGCCTGAATTCCTTCGATAATTTATTATTAAGTGAATGATCAACACACGTATGTACAATCGCGTTTTTTTTGAAGTTTAAATTATATTAAAATATTAAATACTTTAAATTTTTGAGCCTAAAATTCCCCTCCCTGCATGAAAAGATTTTAATAATACTTTTTATTTTTTTTATGTAATAGTAATATGTTAATAAAGATATATAATTTTAATATTAAAGAATATAAAAATGAAAAATGCAATTATTGATAAAAAAAAGAAAAATCTTTACAAAAATAGGAAAATTTTTTTTTACTTTATTCTATTTCTAATAAACAAATTATTCCCACAAGAAAAACCTAATAATTATATTTTACCATGTTGCCTATATATATATATATATATATATATATTATATATATATATTATGTTTCCCATAAACTATTTATTAATTAGAATTATTTAAAAATAAAATTGTATATGAAATAAAAAATGATATTAAAAAAAAGATTCTAAAATTTTTTTAAAAAAATCTGCAAATTATAAAATAATAGCGAAAATATAATATTAATTAACTTTTTTCCCCTTATCATTATCATTATTGTTCACAGCTTTTCTGATCCATCGTCATTTGACCAAGGCTTTTACCCAATTCGGTGGTTGGCGTTGTAGTACTATTGTTACTATTCTCGTCAATTATCTTTGATGGATTTTTATTACCAACATCATTGGAGTTAGTGTCATTTGTTTTTTCATCGTTTAATTCCGAATTGGTAGTTGTGGTGGTAGATGGATTGTTGACGGTGGCAGTAGTAGTTGCAGGAGTAGAAGCAGAAGGATTAGTTGATGACGGTGATGATGATGATATTGCTGTAGATGCAGAATTGTTGTTGTTTGAAGTTGCAGAATTATTTTGTTGAGTGTTTGAAGATGATTGATGTGAAATAATATCTTGACGTTTATTAAATCCATTATTGTTGTTATTGTTGTTATTATTATTGCCACGGTGCTGTTCACTATCTGAATGGTAGCCACCATTGTGTGTAGCAGCAGCGTTAGCTGGCTGACCATTGTTATGATTACCATGATATAGATGAAGGCCTTCAACAAATTCTTGAGAATGATAGGCAGGCGATGTAAGCGGATGATCTGGTATATGTGAAGATTGAGGTGGAATTTCTATTTTCATGAAAGGTTTACTACCCCCTGGTAATGAATCTGTAGGAGGGTTAGAACCTGGAATTTATCAAAAAAAAAAAAAAAAAAGGAAAAAGGATTAGCCTATGATAATTTATAGCAATAACACAACTATTACAATCATTCTTATTTATAACTACTTGCCTTCTTCCATATTATTTGGATGGATATTTCCATTATTGAACATTTCAGGGTTTGGATTGTCGCCGGTTTCTTGCATGTTTTGAACCATATAATGTTGTGGAGGATGTTGTGGGTGGAAAGGAGCATGTGTGGAATTTGGAGGACCAGTTGCCATCATTAAAGAACCTGGAAACCCTTGGAAAGGAGGTGGATATTGACCATAAGGACTCGAGAAAGGTCCATTAAAATCGCCTGGCATCATACCTGGAGTACCATTTGGACCAGTGAAAGACATGTGACGGCCATCATTTGGAAAAGCAGGATGCATTTGGATTGGATTATAACGTTCGTGATTATCGGCATAATGACCAGGACTACGACCACGGACAACCAAAGGAGCAGAAGTTGTAGTGGCCAGTCTATAAGGTTCGCCGGTTTCAACCTGAGCATACAAATCCACCATCAATACATAATATTGTTGTGCAGCTCTACGTTTACCGTTGTTTGCAGTGGCAGTTTTAAATTGAATACGTTCAAATGTGACAATGTTAGAATTAGTTCCAACTGAGCTAAGATTGAGATTTCCACCTGGACGAATTGGTTTTGGACCAGGTACCATTTGGGGACCTTTATCACGTTTTGGAGTGTGTTGTACCAATTCTATTTTCTTGTCGCTATTTGAAACGCGTGCAGTGATTCCCAATAAGAACTGAGTTACAGCATAGTATTGACCATCAACCTCAATCAAACATGACACATCAGATTCATTAACAGGATGAGGTGTGCCTGAGATTGAGAAGGCTGAACTAATTTGGAAATAATTCCTTCGGTAACAAGTCCAATCATTATCAGCCAGGAAAAATCCTCGATCCACCTTTGAATTGATACGAACTTTCAAACTAATGAAATATTACGAGTGAATTGAACATTGGAATTAATTAGTAACAAATTCTTGATTTTAAGATTTTTTTTGATGATTGGGATGATTAAAAAAAAATTTTACTTTGTTGATCTATCAATAGTATACAAAGGATAATGTTGTTGTGTTTGAGTAAAGAATGGGCCAGCATCTTGTGGAAAGCCCACTGTGTTATCTCTACGTTTTCTATGAGTTTGTGATGGATATGGAGAGGAATGGAATGATGAGAATGCAGGGCGATTATCAATTTTTCGGTCAGGTGGAGCAGTATTTGGAGTTTGTGAAGGTGATTCGTTACGAGGAGTTGATGGAGTCACAGGTGCTGACATTGAAACATAACTATAGTGAAATGTAATAGATGAAAAATCAAATTGAGTTTTTTTTGGAGAAGATACGAAAATAAAAATAAAATGAACAAATATATGATGAAGAAGATCGATGATTATGATTAAGATTAATTAAATTTTGTTGATTGATTAGTCGGGATCATCGACAATTATTAAATATTATTACTGATCCTTTTAACATCAATACTATAAATCTTTTTTCTACTTTAGTAAATCGATATATCGTTAGATAAATATAAATAAATATAAATATATATAAAACAAACAACCTTTCAAATTTTGATTGAGGTGGTCGAGAAAAATTCGGTGTTGAAGTAATTTCTTGTTTGACTGGAATGAACATTTCGTGACTATGATTATTTCCTACATGAACAGTCCTTAATTTTTTGATAGATCAAAAAAAAATAAATATCAATTCGAAAAGAAAGTAAGTAATTTTAATCATTCTTATTGTTGTTAATTAAATAATAATAATAGAAAATGTTGTGGTGTTGATGGGTATACGACCAAATGTAAAGCTTTAATAAAATTTGCAAGAGAAAGAGTGTGTGTAAGGTAACACGCGGAGGTTTGGAAACATAAACTTGCATATCCAAAACTAGTTTGTGTGAAGTACAAAACAAAACGCGGGTTTTTTCTATGCTATGCTCGTTGTGGTAACCATAAAACGTGCGGCACAGAATTTTAAAAAAAAATCAAAAAAAAATTTTTTTCTTTAAAAAAATTTTATTGCCTACATTTGTTGATGATGCATTTGACCTTGAGCAGTTTGATTGTCGTATTGGAAAGAAGGAATATAGTTTTCAGCCTGGATGCCGTTCATTTGTGTCGACATTGTTGTTGTTTCAGCAGTAGGATGAGATTGGTTTGAAGTGGTTAAGGATGGTGGAAATGATTCTTTAGATGTAGCAGTAATAATATTATTAGAGTTAGAATTAATAGTAGTTACTGAAGTAGTGGTGTTATTGATTGATATTTGTTGTTGTTGTGTCTGTTTTAGTTGTTTTGTAGGCCACTTATCTTCAACAATTTTCATCAATACTTATATATTTATAATTGTAGTAGAATTAAATAATAATAAATAATACGATGATAAACGTTAAAAAGTGATTTTTAAATTTCAAAAAATTTTTTTTAGTTCTCAATGAAAACTTTGAAAGTCAGTTTCTTTTCAACTGGAATTATTTTTGTTCAAGGATTTTTTTTCGTGTTTCAAAGAACAACCTGGGGCTGGTGACAGGAAAAAAGTAAACAAAAAAAGAAAAAATAGACACTAAAGGTGTGTGTGTATCTTAACAGTTCAGTGGGAATTTGTTGTAAAACCAATTAGTTCAAGAAAGAGAGAATATTATAAGTTGGGTAACAATATTTATATATTTATAGTATTAGAGTTTGATGATCTTATAAAAGGAAAATTTTTTTATTTGGATGTATATATTAATCGAGTTGCAAATTTCTTTGCACGACATTTTGTTTCACAACAATAAAAAACGGCGTTTATATTTTCTATAAATAGTTACGTACAATAATAATAATAATATATATGGGAACCATTTATACACATGTGTTGGATTAACCTTTATCTTACTTGGGCACTTTACTTTCTTGGTAAGAAAAATTTAATAATAAAGGGGGTATTATGTAAACTATCACGAATTAGTAAATGATTTATGATCTACAGTGTGATGGATAAAATAAACTTTGATTAATATTAATTGAGATTGAGATGATTGATTATCTGAAGCGCAGCATAATTCAAAATTTATCTAATTCTCCAATTGGGAATTTTAATATAAAGTAAGTGCATGCCTAATTCCATGAACCTCAAACATTTACCCCATCTATGAACTTTTCGTATACCATAATCTTCACAGTTTTGATTCATCAATTTGTATTTCAAAGCCACTTGGATCACACTGACAAGGCTAAGTTCATACAAAATAAATTATTATAACTTTTGAAACTGTTGTGTGTGATTGGTCATGAAAATCCCATTTTTTATTATTTTTCTATTCTATGTCATTGAGGTTGTATGATGATGGATGGGCTTCTAAGGTTTCAAAACAAACATTGGCTATTAATATTTTTCTGCTAACGGGCACCGTTTAGAAGTTTGACTTGCAAAATTTCAAAAAAGATTCCCGGATTTTGTGCCAGTGCCGACGCTTCAAGTTAATATTATTGCAAACAGCAATGAAATATTCTATAAATTTAATTCTTTTTTTAATGTTACCACATCGTATGTTTCCCATTGATGATTTAGTAGCCTTGCAATTGAATTTTGATACTTGCACGTTTGTAATATTTATTTGTATGTAAAAACATAAATCTTCCCAAAAAAATTTTTTTACTATAAGCGAAAAATTTATTCAAATTCTAATACGTAAAATGAGAACAACATTCTTCACAGGAGAAATTAAATTAACAGTTGTGGCATCAGAAGATGTCAGTAGAAGCAGCAATTAGAGTTTAAATTTTTTGTCAAATTACAAGATTTATAAATCTAAATGGCGACGATCTTCCATAAAACTGCTCATTTCATGTCGTCTCGTTCATTCTACGCCAAATCGACCCAAAAAATATATAAATAAAACAATGGTAATAATCCAACTGCCCGATAATTGTTCCTGTTTTGTGTTACACAATCAAACACTGTGTAAGGTAACACGCGGAGGTTTGGAAACATAAACTTGCATATCCAAAACTAGTTTGTGTGAAGTACAAAACAAAACGCGGGTTTTTTCTATGCTATGCTCGTTGTGGTAACCATAAAACGTGCGGCACAGAATTTTAAAAAAAAATCAAAAAAAAATTTTTTTCTTTAAAAAAATTTTATTGCCTACATTTGTTGATGATGCATTTGACCTTGAGCAGTTTGATTGTCGTATTGGAAAGAAGGAATATAGTTTTCAGCCTGGATGCCGTTCATTTGTGTCGACATTGTTGTTGTTTCAGCAGTAGGATGAGATTGGTTTGAAGTGGTTAAGGATGGTGGAAATGATTCTTTAGATGTAGCAGTAATAATATTATTAGAGTTAGAATTAATAGTAGTTACTGAAGTAGTGGTGTTATTGATTGATATTTGTTGTTGTTGTGTCTGTTTTAGTTGTTTTGTAGGCCACTTATCTTCAACAATTTTCATCAATACTTATATATTTATAATTGTAGTAGAATTAAATAATAATAAATAATACGATGATAAACGTTAAAAAGTGATTTTTAAATTTCAAAAAATTTTTTTTAGTTCTCAATGAAAACTTTGAAAGTCAGTTTCTTTTCAACTGGAATTATTTTTGTTCAAGGATTTTTTTTCGTGTTTCAAAGAACAACCTGGGGCTGGTGACAGGAAAAAAGTAAACAAAAAAAGAAAAAATAGACACTAAAGGTGTGTGTGTATCTTAACAGTTCAGTGGGAATTTGTTGTAAAACCAATTAGTTCAAGAAAGAGAGAATATTATAAGTTGGGTAACAATATTTATATATTTATAGTATTAGAGTTTGATGATCTTATAAAAGGAAAATTTTTTTATTTGGATGTATATATTAATCGAGTTGCAAATTTCTTTGCACGACATTTTGTTTCACAACAATAAAAAACGGCGTTTATATTTTCTATAAATAGTTACGTACAATAATAATAATAATATATATGGGAACCATTTATACACATGTGTTGGATTAACCTTTATCTTACTTGGGCACTTTACTTTCTTGGTAAGAAAAATTTAATAATAAAGGGGGTATTATGTAAACTATCACGAATTAGTAAATGATTTATGATCTACAGTGTGATGGATAAAATAAACTTTGATTAATATTAATTGAGATTGAGATGATTGATTATCTGAAGCGCAGCATAATTCAAAATTTATCTAATTCTCCAATTGGGAATTTTAATATAAAGTAAGTGCATGCCTAATTCCATGAACCTCAAACATTTACCCCATCTATGAACTTTTCGTATACCATAATCTTCACAGTTTTGATTCATCAATTTGTATTTCAAAGCCACTTGGATCACACTGACAAGGCTAAGTTCATACAAAATAAATTATTATAACTTTTGAAACTGTTGTGTGTGATTGGTCATGAAAATCCCATTTTTTATTATTTTTCTATTCTATGTCATTGAGGTTGTATGATGATGGATGGGCTTCTAAGGTTTCAAAACAAACATTGGCTATTAATATTTTTCTGCTAACGGGCACCGTTTAGAAGTTTGACTTGCAAAATTTCAAAAAAGATTCCCGGATTTTGTGCCAGTGCCGACGCTTCAAGTTAATATTATTGCAAACAGCAATGAAATATTCTATAAATTTAATTCTTTTTTTAATGTTACCACATCGTATGTTTCCCATTGATGATTTAGTAGCCTTGCAATTGAATTTTGATACTTGCACGTTTGTAATATTTATTTGTATGTAAAAACATAAATCTTCCCAAAAAAATTTTTTTACTATAAGCGAAAAATTTATTCAAATTCTAATACGTAAAATGAGAACAACATTCTTCACAGGAGAAATTAAATTAACAGTTGTGGCATCAGAAGATGTCAGTAGAAGCAGCAATTAGAGTTTAAATTTTTTGTCAAATTACAAGATTTATAAATCTAAATGGCGACGATCTTCCATAAAACTGCTCATTTCATGTCGTCTCGTTCATTCTACGCCAAATCGACCCAAAAAATATATAAATAAAACAATGGTAATAATCCAACTGCCCGATAATTGTTCCTGTTTTGTGTTACACAATCAAACACTAGTTTTTATTAGGAACAGAGAAACAACTTTTGCTTTTTTGTTTTCCCAAATAAATTATAAATTATTGGAATTATTTTATTGGATTATGTAGATCAATCTAAATTGTTTCTCATTTCCATTTCCATTACCTAATAAGGTATGCACAACAAGGAACTTTGAAAAATCATCGCTCAAGTAGTAGTGTGTATCTCTAATACTAAACCTTATTATTATTATTATTATTATTCAATATTCGAAATTTATTCAATTCTTTAAAATACTTTCGAATACTCAATAATAATAATTTCGAATACATAATAGTAATATTCGTAATATCGTAATATTGATGATACATGCTTTTATTCTTTTTATTAAATATATAAATTTTAAAATTTTAAAACTAAATTATGCTTTATGTTTCTTTTTAAAAAGAATAACCTTCTACCATATCAGGTTACGTTTCGGTGCGATATGGTTTTTAGCATCACTAAATAACCGTTCTGCAAGAACGGATGTTGCAGATTTTTTCTAGCCAATTTTGCTAATAGAGGAAATTTTCTTTCCAAATAAGTTGATGTTTCGACAATTGTCCTTCTGGTTCTAACTGTTTAATGAAATAAATATAAATTTATAAGATATATACTTTTTGCCTGAAAAGTATTTTAATAAAATTACTACTAGTGCTTGGCACATTTGGTGATATTTTGCCACATAAACCATTCGGGTGTTCTAGAGAAAACATATACTTTTACTTGACAAATCCGTTCGATAAAATGATCACAAATACAGCTTTCTCAAAGTCTTTCATGTTTTTTTTATTTGGTGGTCTAAATAATCTATCATTGGTAATGAAAAATTAGAATTTGTTTCTTCTTCTTCATTAATTAAAATAACATGATTTATTGAAGACAATTTTTATTCATCATTACAAATATTCGAAAGTATTACATATCATTTAATAGTAATAGGAAGGAACGCCCAAGATGTTGAATTGAATAAAGGTGCTACTAAATGGAATGATAACGATTCTATAAAGTTAAAAAGACGATTAGATTTTATCAAAATTCTAATGATGATTTTATAAAAAAAAGTCAATCAACCTTTGAAAGGATTTTTGATAAAAATTACACGCAACATTCAAAAATTAAATCTACAATCTCAATGTCATATCGCCAATTGGGTTTAGGAAAAAGATTCGTAGATCCGAAAATGTATACTGAGTAATTTATTTTATGGGCTGTGGTCGTTAAGATACAGGAGGAATAAAAAATATATTCAGATAAATAAACATCTGAAAGTTTCATAAAGCATTATTTGGAAAATTCACTGATGTGCTAAAAGTTCTGGAACTGCAATATTTTAAGCTTCTATAAGAATATCTAATGGAACAAAGAAAACTAAAACGTCAATACCTGCTAAATCATTTATTCAATGATTTATCTATAGCAAATAATGATGAAAATAAAACATCTCGTTATTATTATCTCGTGACAAATAACAAATCAGAGAAATAAAATATGTATCGTTTTTAACATGTGAAACTTATGCATAAATTTTTTTTTATGTTAATCAATTGAATATTTAGAATAAATTTTCCTTCTAATAATTTGTACACCTCAAATTCTTCTAATAAACGAGTAAATTTACCAGTATGGTTAAGTTATAAAAATTCCAATTGTCATAACAACAATAATGATACTGTGTTAAGAGGTTGTAAATTTTATAATTTTTGACGATTATAATAATATATTGTGTATTTAGAATATTTAATATCTAAAGATAAAACTTTCTTCAATCCAATAATCACCATTTGTATGCATTCCTTTTATATCCCAACTGATTGGATTATAACCACCAACTAACTTACTTGTTTTTTTAATTTTTATGATAAACACGATGATATTATAGTTATAGCATTTGTTCTCGAAAACTATCCTAAAAAATTCATCATAATCTCCATCGCCATCACCATATTCAGCCTTTAAAGTTATTTCTTTCATCACAGTAATCTTGAATTTTATGAATGCAAATTATAATTAAAAGTTTTTGTAAATCATCATCAATTAAAATATAATTCGTCGCATGCTTCAAAAAACTTCATCCAGATCCAGATTGTTTATATCAATAGTTTCATTTTAAATGTATTTTTTGAATAAATAAAAATTATACAGGATATTTTTTAGATTAAAAAATCATAGAATTAATCTTACGTTATAAAATAACTTCAAATACTTTTGTAGAAATTTTTTCTTTTTCAAATAAAATGATATCATTTTTAGATTTTTTAGTCAATTACTGGATAAAATGGCAGAATGAGGTTTAAAAGTTTTAACATAATGTTTTGATCCAATTCTAACCTCTAGATCGTAACATTCAGATTCATTCAATAATCCTGTTGAGCCCTTACAAGTTTATGTTTTAATTGTTGAATTGATCTCGCTATACTTTCCAAAGTAGGCTATTTCTAAGGCTTTGTGCTACATAATAATTAATTTACGTTAGTTGTAAAACTTTAGCGTTATTATTCACGATTTAGTGAATCCGTGCATTTTTTTGAATATAACCGCTTTTAGACGTTTCTATTAATGACATAGATAATTCTCCAAATAAGATGATTCTTTGGGACATGATCTGGATTCTAATTCCCCAACAGGCGCGCCTTTTCCAATCGAACATTACTCCTTTAAGAAATTTTATTGTCTATAGTCATCACTCTTGAAAGAAAATGCATCCGTAAAGTCTTCGTCTAATTAGCCTATGCGCACTTTTATTTAAATCATTCCGTTGCTCCTTTATCGTTACTTCTTTAAACAATGTAGAAATCTTAAAAAGATGCCATAATCCTTCTCCACCAAACCGGTATATCTTATAAAAAGATTTTTTTAATAGAACATCTTAACAATAAAGAAGTTTTGACCGATTTTATGAAGCTTTTAAAAGGCCCCTGATTTTATGATATCGAAGTTGCGATTGGGATGGAAACTTATCTTACAATTTTAAGAGCTAGGTTAAGTAAAAAATTGCCTTTATAAGTGATATTTACCTTCACTAAAGCTCCGGACGGTTCGGTTTCTGTTTGGTTTGATTTAGTTTCGGTTTTAAATTATTATTGAACACAAAAAAAAATTTTTTTTCAAGTACAGTCAAACCCTCGCTTCAACGAACTTCGTCCCAGCGAATTTTTAAAAATCTTGTTACACATTATGAAAACATAATATACAAAAATTATTCGATTAGTAATCTCGTTTCAACGGATTTTGAATGAAATTTTTTTATATGTCCAGCCACTTCGTTGAAACGAGGTTTGACTGTACAAGCTTCTTATATACAATTAAATTAATTAGTAGCACTCTAATTACAAATATTTTACTTAATTACTATTTAGCAATTTAATCATGGATCCGCCGCCGCACTTGTGCAATTGCGATTCAGTGATTTTAATCATGAAATAGCTCTTCAAGTACAAGTATGAAATCGCAAATCTACGTTAATTCTATTAAATACATTATAATGTTTATATTATAAAAATATATTAATGCGGAATTAGAGAATTTCGGTCAATGAATTGGTATTAATTTCTAGTTCCGGTAACACTATCAATTTAAATTTTGTTTGAATGCAAAAAAACTCGGTTCGGTTTCAGTTTATAAACCGAAAAGTTCGGTTCGGTTTACTCATCAAATCGGCTCAAACCGAACCGTTAGGAGCTTTAGTAAATAACTTGATTTGTAAAATGCTGCTACCTACAAGAGTAAAGAAAGATGAGACTCTAAATTAACACAAAAAAATTTTAAATTGTCTCCTTTAATAAGATTACAAAATGCATCAATGTATTCAAATAATTACTTTATTGACCTTGGAACATATAATGGTGTGATTGGTTCAACCTTGAGTTCCATGTAATCACTCTGGCAATTTTTTTATCTTGTATTTTTCGATATAATTAATTACATACAGTATCTTGGTTAAAAAAAAAATAACATGATATTGCTATATTAATATTTTCTCATGTGAATTCCTTTTGTTCCCATATTCATTACAGTTATTATTCAATATATTTGATATCATTATTGAAATAACATTAACCAGGTAATAAATAATACCAAGACCATGCAGAAATGAAACTTTGAGGAATCTGATTTCAAAACAATAATGTGTGTGTCTACCCAGTTCCTTGGGATTCACAAAAATAAATAAATAAATCTATTCCTTCTTGGAAAAAAATATTTTTTCTTTCCCATGTATACATTCTTAAATGAATATAAATAAATCTGATATTGATCACAGGTGTCAGATTAATTAAAATTTCCTATAACAAACATGCAAGCATGATGCAATTAAGCACAATTCAGCACCATGAAATTTTTTTCCACAAGTGAAGGGGCTTGAACATTTCGAAGGCTTTGGACAAAACTTCCCTTATCTTCCTACTTGACTGTTACCATATGGCATTGATTGCTTATAGCTGGAAAATTCTCCATATCGGAGGTTGCAACCTGGGTTGTTATTTTGTATTTTCCCTGAATTCAGAGTTTTGAGTCCTGGGTTGCTATCTTGTTGGTCTCACCAACAACCCTACCCCATTTAAATAACAAACCCAGTTGGTCAAACAAAAAATTAAAGAAATAGAAAATTTTTGGAAAATGATTAATTTATAAATTTATATGTAACATACCAAAAAAAATCTGAACGATTTTATTTTACAGCTTTCACCTTGATGCCAGTGATCCACAATAGGAATGAGCAGAGTCAAACTGTCACCCTGCACTTGTAAGATGTACGTTCTCATTGAGCTACACTCCCCCAATCTAGTGTAGATTATAAGGCTCCAAACAGATCTGATCTGATCTGATTGATTCAAAACAGATTGCAATTTAATAAGATCTGATCTGATCTGATCTGTTTGGAGCCTTAGTAGGTTATATGGGAAAAAGCCCCCATTTAAAAAACAAATTCAGTTGATCAAATAAAAATTAAAGAAACAGAAAATATGGGAAAATAATTAATTTATATATAACATGCCAAATAAAATCTGAACCTTTTCATTTTACAGCCTCCCTCTTAACATCAGAGCCCAAATACAATTTCAGAGTCACCTCATGTGCTTGAAACAAGTTGCAGATTCTTGTTGCTTTGATGGGTCTGGATGTTTATGCACACCTAATATTACAACCCTTCAAAGTTTTTCAATTGCAGATCCATCCTTACCCTAGAGGTAGGATTGTTGCAGGTAACTTCTTGTCTAACTTGTCAGCCTTCTCTGGTTTGGTGCTGTAAGTGAAAACATCATTGACAATTGATATAATCTTGGTAAGCTCAGAGCTTTGCACCCCCCCTGGATTTCAACATCATTGTATTGTAAAATAGTAATTTTACATAGCATGGAAAATCAATAAATGATTTACAAAAGTCACGTGAAAAGTAAATTGGAAAAACTGATCAAGTATTCAAACCAGTCCAATTTCATATTTTTATTCAACCACCAATAAAATAATTGACTCACAGAGAATATCTTAGACAACAGAAAAATAAATATTCTAACATTCTAAATGTAACAGACCTTTAATTCCTAGCTTTAATTGATCATTTTAGAAATGATTTGAAAATAATTCTACACAGAAGGTTCAAGTAATACATTTAATTAGACTTCAAAGAAATCAGAGAACTAGATAATAGAGCCTTTAACATGTATAAATAACATTGTAATTTCTCAACTTCATGTATCATCTTATTGAAAAATCAATCATCATAATAATCATTTAATAAATAACTCTGTCCTTAACCTTGTCCTTGTCCTTGTTGTTGTCTTTGAATATTATATTTTCATAATGATAATAAATCTATCTCTAACAATGAATTCATACTAATCCCGTGCATAATTATTTTCTCTTATTTTATATTTGTCTCTATTATTTTTATTATTTTTTTATTACTTTTCTTTTCTTTTAGTGAGGTAGTATTTAATAAATTTTATTTAGTGAAATTTGGATATGTATCAAAGGACTTGCATTTAATTAGTAAATTTTCTTTTTAAATTTTGAAATTAATGGATGGGTCAACAATAAATTATTATATATACGTTATATTCACCTATAAGTTTATCACTTAATGCAAACTTGTATAAATATTTTGATGTGCATCACCAATGTTTTATAATGTATTCAAAATTAAAATTGCAGCAATCAAACTCATCATTATATTGTTGCTGAATGATCATGTCAATTATAAAAATAATTCACAATCAATTTTATGTAAAGTTTTCACAATCATTCCAAATTGGAACATTTACAAAAAATAAATATATCAAAAAATTAAATTTCAAATATGGGAATAGAAATCAATCAACTGATATTTTATTGTTCATTTCCTTTAGATCTAACAGAGATAAATCACTAAATAATAAATAAATAAATCAATTTAGGCAATTTCACATCAGGAATCTCACCTAAACCATTAACCAGACATCAAAATTTTGGGAGATTGCAATATCATATGCAATCAATCAATCAGTGTTAAAAAAAATAATTACTTGTCATTCATTTAAGAAAACTAAACAACATCTTAATATTGATAGGGTTGTATGCACATGGTGTACTACTACATTTGCTTGGCTAGGATCCTGAAACTGATGATGATTATTCAAAGGTGAATCAGAAAAAAAAATTAAATACTTAAATTAGGAAAAATAAAGAATGATTATACATACATAAAAATATATATATCTGTCCAAAATTTTGTTAAATTTATTATTCTATTAATATTAAAGACAAATATAAACAAAAGAAAATGAATTTTTACTTCTTGAATAGAATTTGAAGAAAGGATGTTGCTGAATAGATTAATATCGCATCCAGAGAAAATATTTATAGTTATTAATGATATTTGAGGCATATTAGATAATTCATTATCATTATAATTGGAAAAACATATATGCAAAAAAGAGATAATTTTTAAAAGTGTCAATAAATTGTGATTTTAAATCAATATTAATATTAATAATGTAATTAACTATATATAAATTTGAATATAATGCATATTAAAATTCAGGTTTTCTTTTGCATATAAATTTGTTCAATTTTGGTCAAGATTCAATAAGCTACAAAAATACATAGTAGGCCAAGTCTTTCAAAGTTATGTATAATGTGAGATAAAGAAAAATTAGATTGATTATCCATATCAAAGGATCAAAAAAAAATCAAATATTAAAAAATTATTCTTCCATTAATTATTGAATCATTTATATATATAACAAAACAAAAAAAAATTTTATTAACTATTTATGTCAAGATTTTCAGTAGATCCTGGATGGCATAAAATGGAAATATCACTAATGAGATTGTGTCCTACAAAAAATACAAAAAAAAAAATTTGGTAACATAAATTTTTACAGTAATGAACAATAAAAATTCAAAAAGGATTAAACTTCATATCAAATCAGACACCTCTTCTACAAAAATAAAATCAGAAGATTCACACTCACAAAGCCCTGTATCTTCACCAAAAAGAAAAAAGGCAAAATCACCATCTCCACAAACAACAACAACGACATTACCTCAAACAACACAGGAAGAACAAGAAGAACAAGGGGAAGAACAACCTAAAAATAAAGAACAATCGCAAGAGAGACAATTAGATCAGAAACAAGATCGAGATCAAGATCAGAAACAAGATCAGGATCAGAAGCAAGATCAAGATCAGAAACAAGATCAAGGATCACAAGAGCCTGTAAAAAGAAGACCAGGTAGACCACGTAAATATGCTCCACAAGACCCTTCAAGACAAAAAAGGGTTATTAACAATGATTCAAAAAGATTTGAATATGCTCAAGGTGAAAGTTCAACAACAACTAATGGAATGAATGGTTTAAATCAATTAAATTATGATGAAATACTTGATGAAAAAGGAGAGAAAAAGATCACCAAAGATGGAGGTTTATTAGGAGGTAAAATAATTTTATTATTTTGTTATTTAAGCTCTAAACCTTTTTTAAAAATGCAAAGTGATTATAATTATCATAATTACTATTTTTATATAGGCAGAAATTTTAAAGTGCCGGTTTTTCAATTGCCCAGTGATAATACATGGTATATGTTATCAATGGATGCGGCAAAAGTTTTGGGTTTTCGTGATAGTTATTTATTTTTCTTAAGAAATCCATCATTACAACGAGTTTTTGCAACTGAAGATGAAAGAGAGTTCCTAATCAAAATAGGAATCTTGCCCGCTGCATATCGTAGTAGGAATATTACTTTGGTATCAGCTAGGTCTACATACAGATTATTTGGTTCAAGAATAATCCAGAATGGAAAAAGAAGAAAAGACGATTATTTTGAATCAAATTTGAGATATGATGATGATTTAAGTGACAAAGGCAATGATTCAGAAACTGAAAATGCAAACAATATCCTATCAAAAAAATTTAATAGTAAAATAACAAAACCACGAAATCTTGCAAACGAAACTTCATGGATGTATCAATCAGCGCTTCACGCCAGAGATTATAATACCAGATTAAAAATTCATCGTAAGGATAAACCTAAATTTTACGATGCTCATACCAATATTGAACAAGTACCACAGGCAACACAACCAACTCGAATCAAAGTGGAAACAATTTCAAAACCTATATTTTTTTTACCGCTGAATAGAAGAAACCAATCGCCAAAAATTCCTGAAATTAAATTTGAACCAACATTTTTTAATCCTTTAAAAAGTTTAAGTCCAGAAGTTTCAGAAGTGGTGCCACCTGAGATTCGTAAGATTATTGATGATATGAATAAAAATATCAAAGATGATGATTTTATGGATATTGATTATGAGGAGGATAAATATCCTATTGCATTAATGGACCATCAATTCCAATCATCATATCCATTGTAAGTAAATCGTATGAAAAAATTATATACTGATTTTTTTTGTTTTATGTTTGAAAAATTAATTAAAGAATTTTTTGAATTAGACATCGAGCACGTTTTGGTCATGAAATCCCTGAAACTGTACCAAAAAATTTGAATGAGTCAAATACAAATACAAGCCTACTACAATCATCTATAAAATCTCCGCCTATGCAATTCCCACTGTCTAATACAAATTATACATCATCATCAATAACAACAACAAACATGGCGCCAGAAGTACCAGAAAAAGCAACATTAATCGCATCAGTTCCAGCACCACAATTAATCCCAAAACTTCCAGAAAATGCATGTGCAATGTGCTTCTTAACTGTTGCGCCTGATAACACAACTCCGATTAATGGTGCACCATGCTCAAAAGAATATACTACAAAATGTTCTCATTGTAATCGTAGTTATCATCCATTATGTTTAGGGCTTACTACGACTAGACTAATTGTTGCAATGGAAAGTTACCCGTGGCAATGTAATGATTGTAAAACTTGTGTTGTATGTAGAACATCAGGTGATGAAGCTACTTTACTAATTTGTGATGATTGCGATCGTGGTTGGCATATTAATTGTAGTGAACCAAAAGTTACTGAAGTCCCGAAAGGTAGCTAATTGCTTATTATTATTATCAATATCACATATATTATATGGGTATTTAACATATATTTGTGATTTTTTGCTTATTTATTTATTGAAATAATTAGGTCCATGGTTATGTTCAATTTGCGCACAATGTAATTCGTGTGGTGAAAAGGCCAAATCGTTGGATAATGCAGCAAAGGATTATCTTCATCTTGAAGCAACATCGGGCCAGCCAAATTCCAATTATCCGATCTATTTAGCTACAATATGTAACAATTGTAGCTTAAACTTCATAGCAGATAGATTTTGTCCAATGTGTTTGAAAACATTTTCCGAAGAAGGAGCAATGGAAGAAAATGAAGATGAAGATCGTGATATGGTGTGTTGTGATGAGTGCGATCGATGGATCCACGTAAGATGCGATCTTGACATCACTCCAAATAGATACGAGGAGTTGCAGGAAAATCCTAATGCAGGATATAAATGTCCACTTTGTGAAGGAAGAATTAAAGGATTGAAAGAAGGTGACCAGAAAGAACGTGATGCGTTGGCCGGTAATCCAGTGGCGAAACCTGTTGCGCAGGTTGCCGGACAAAAGTTGATTAGGGGTATCGTGGAATTTAAGGGTAAAAGAGTTGTGGTCCCAGAAATTCGAGGATGGGGAAAATTGGCAATGTAGATTTCTACCATTTATCCATAATTATTTTCCCATTTACTTACTAATATATATACTTAATATATAATAATATATAGAATGTAATAATAAATAATATATAAAAGAGATAATAAATTGTTTTTTCATCTACCAGTATACATCTTTATTTATTATTCCCTTGATTTCCCAAGGTTATTTTTAACTTTTCACTTTCATTATCATGAATAAAAACAACGAAGGAATTTAATATTTGATTTTATCAACAAAAATTTTTTTGTTGTGTTTGACATAAGTGGTATAATGTGATTTAATGGATGGCTGGTTATTTTGTTAAATCTCCATGACCAAGAGAGACTCCATTGGATACTTTTGATACTTAGAATGTCCAACATAAATTTGATTGATGTTGATGGTTGATGTGTAAGTTTTTGAGAATGGTAGTATCTCGATGCTTTACAGTGTAGCCACACTTGATGGGTTGATGTACACTCATCAGCACCATGTACTTTGATCTTGCCATTGATAATTCTACGTTGGTGGAGAATGATATTCATTCTAACTGTACAATATCTTCTATGCTGCGCCTTCATCTTCCACCACATTTTCGAGCATGGTTTTTTATACGAAAATTAACTCCAGTAGCAGCTGTTCCAATTAGCATAACTGGCAGGATGATTTTGGACATTCAAAGGATGAGAATGTGAAGATTGAGGAAGACAAAAGTTATGATGGCTATTATTACACTTGGCACAAAATCCATCATGTTTTGAAACAGTTGATGATGGCTGTGATGGTGACTTCTTTTCTGGCATGTGCTTTTATAGATAAGTTAAAATTTACCTTTCGAATAAATGAACGGTAATTGCTTAGATTAAAATAAATCCCAATTTAATTTTTTCTTTTAATAATATATCTTAATAGTTTAATGGTTAAATAAATTTCAATTGCTTGTTTGGTTAAAACGCCATTAATATCATGTTGGTATACACTTTGTGACATAATACTCGCTTTGTTTATTTTTCAAAAATAATGGAATTATATCCATTCTGCTTAATTAAAATAATTTTACATATTAAATTATTATAAACTAAACTATCTCCTGTAATTGAATCATATCCAGATCTTTTATAGTATATGCAAATGGATCTTTTCTTACTGGCCTAGATTTGTAATGTGCTATATGTATACATATTCATAATATATAAAATATAAAATATTTAATTAAAAAATTATAAATTCTGATAATGATGATGATTTTAACCATTTTTTTTTTTTTTTGGCTTTACTTACAACTTGGTTTTCCTCGCGAATTTGGATTAAAATGGTCATCTATTTGTCTAATCTATTAATTATTAACAAGATACATTGTAATTATTATAAATATAATTATGAATTATGGTGACGATGATTTATAATAGGATTTAATCAACAAATATCACCTTCAAAGTTTCTGGTACAAATTCGATAGGTATAGATGCTAGTGTGCCATCAAATCTATTATAATAAAAACAATAATATATTATTATTAATCATTTTGCTTTTTTGTTTTTCTTTAAATAATCACCTGTTTTTCCTAATATCCAAATATCTAAACTCGCCCTCATCTCTTGCTATTTTTTGAAGAATAACAATATTATCTGCTTCTTGAGACACTTTAGCGGATCCAAATATTGAATTAATATCTAATAAATCTCTGCTATCTTTCCTTGGGTGTACTACCAATGTGATATGAACATTTTTCTCAGTTGCAAAGCTACGAAATTTTGATATGGTACGATCATGATATTCCCACCTATCATTGAATCGACACAAATCTGATGTCATAAATTGTAAATTATCTATGATTATATGTCGAACATCGTAAGCGAATGTTGCATGATTCATTGCTTCGATGACAGTATCAATTTCTGTACTACCAAAAAACTTTAAAAAATACATTGGAAGCTAATAATAATAACACAATAAAATAATTAATTCAAATAAGTATGAATAATATGAAATTATACTTTAAAATCATTATTACCTGTTGAAATTTTGCAGCCCATTCAGAAAATTCTTCAGGATGTTGTGATAAATCTTTTTCAGAAAATTGTTGCAACATTTTTTTTGCTAATCTTACATTTGGAATTTCAAAACTTCCCCACAATGTACTAACACCTGATATACAATAATCTAAAGAAAGTTGACTTAAAACAGTAGTTTTTCCTGTACCAGTCCCACCACTAAAAATAGTCATTTCACCTGGTCGATGCCCTTTAAGTGTTTTATTTAATGCAGGTATATCATTAGACATGACACCACGAACTTGATCTGGGTTAATGATTTCTCTATATACTCCATCTTTAATGTGATCAAAATTAATGATTTGCTCATGTGGTAATGGCTTAGAATTAGAAAGTATTTGATTCAGATCTCTTCCCGCTATTAATGCTTGGCTAGCATTGAGTGGTCCGTCTAAATTACCACAACGTGTATTCACTATTAAACAACGCTCAATACCCAATTTCTTGACAAACATTTCTGACATATCTTGACCAATAACATCATCATCTAACCAAACATAAATTTTAGAAAATCTTTGTAACAAAGGAAGAATTTGAAGGTGTAATTGACTACTTTCCGTAGGTAAACAAAAAGCAGGTATTTTTGTATCCTGGTATGCTGCCATTGCATCAAATTCATTTCCAGCTAATATTACTGCTTCAGTTTCTAATGATGCCAAATGATATCCAAAAAGGCCTGCCCGAAATGATGGCGGATCATATGCTACTAATTCAAAATCTCTATTAACTGAACAGGCTTTAATTCTTGCTATTGATGTTTTTAATTCTGTATAATCCTTAAAGTCTTTAAAAGAAGGAACAGTTCTTGGAAATGTTATACATAATTCACCATATTTTTGATCTTCTGGGCCCTTTAACCAACTTTGAGGAATATTTGGAACTGTAGGGTTGTTATTAATATATCTTGCCATACCAACTTCATAATGTCTTAATGTATCATAAGTAATTTTAAATTTATCTAAAATATGAGCGATAACTTCTGAATGGTTTGATAACTCATTTTTATAGTTTGATACTTCTGTAAATTCAGTATTTGATTCTTCGAAAGGATTTTTTTTTGAACCAGTAATTCTATATGATTCGGTTTTATTTAACATCTGCAAATAGTCATGCCAAGTACCCTTTTCTGAACAAGATAAACAATCAAAAGTTCCATTATTTGTGTTAATCATCATTGAAAAATAGTTGTCTTTTTTTGGACGACAGGTTGGGCATTTAACTTTTACATAGCCATCTTTGTCTGTTTTTTTTGGATACTGGAGATGGCGACAAAGAAACTCAATAATTTCTTCAGGTCGTGGAGCATAGTATTTTGAATAAGCATTATTGAAATATGTTGAAGTTTCCCGACTATAGTGCTTTTTAAAGATAAAATTATTATTTGATTTTTGTTGTTGTTGGTATTGTTTCTCTTTATTAACTAAAAATAATAATGGCAATTTTAGATGTTGTGGTTGTTGTTTTAATGGATTTATTTGTATTGGTGAAAAAAGCCTTTTCTGAAACGTTCCTTTACTTGTTGTAAAAGTTGTAGTTTTTTTAAACATTTTAATTAGTGTGTTATCATTAAAAAAAAAATAGAATTACGCGTCAGTCAATCGATGATGTCGATCTGCACCACCGTCTAAAAAAACTTCGACAAATTTACAGAAACCCTTCCCTCCATCCCTATACAAAACAAAACAAATTACAAAAATGATTGATGGAGTTAATACAGCGAAATGAGACTTTTGTGGAGATAACACAATATGGAAAAATTGATAATTTGGCAAATCGGATAAAAAATTAACTATGACAATTAATTAATTTATAGGAATCGTGTAACACAGTATGTAATTGTTGGGAGGAAAGTATTTGTAGAGGTGATCTAATAAATTTCTAAATTTGGTTAGCGTGCTTTCCATGTACCTGAATTTCATATGTAGTCAGCCAATTGGAACATTAATATCAACATTAAGGAAATTACTATTCTAAAAATTAGAAAAACTATTTTATTGTCATCTTTATTTACATTGTCTTTCTACCTAAAACTTTACAAATTATAGAAATACATATATAAGATTACTGGGTTATATCATTATTTTATCAAGTGCTTGTAACATTTTTGGTAGGTGAATTTACTCCAACAACATATCTAGATGAAAGCACAGGCACCTTATTATTTACACCTAAAAAGACCTTTCTATTGCATCCAGCCAATTGTGAACTGATCATTGGTTGACTACGCTCATGTGGTTTCTTAAATGCTATTTAATAAAAAAAGTATGTATATAAGATATTAAAACATTAAATAAGATTCACTTAGATCAATGATATCCCCATCTAACCTTCAAACCACCTCTCACGATCTTCGATTGACATTTTTTTTAATTTGATTGAACCACCTTGTGGCGTGGAAATGATTCTTGATTTTTTCTCTGGAGAAACTGGTGATGATGGTTCTTGATCTTTTGGTACTTCTGTCAATAAAACTGGCTTTACCCATAATGATGGCGTTGATGGAACAGATGTTACTGATGAAGAAGATATTGTTGACGTACAATTGACAATTTCATTATCATCATTATCATCATTATCATCATTACCATCATCATTGATATTTTTTCTTATTTTACGATGACGTTTTTTATGAAGATTTACGTTGTAATTGATTTTAATTTCATATTTGGTAACCCCATAATAAAAATAATGCTCGCTACTTAAAAAAAAATATATACAATGATTCCAAATATTAATTACACAAACATTTAAAATAGTAATATTAATAGCAACAGTAATAATGTTTCTTTAAATATAAAATAATAATAATACCTTTTGTTTTTTTCATTTTCATCCTCATCAAGCAATAACTCTTTGCACATTAACTTTTCTTGTTTGCATGATTTCAAATTTCTTAAATTTCTTTTAATAAAGTAAATCCAAGTAATAAAAAGCAATAAAACTCCATAACAAACTAGCTGGAATATATTATACATGGTCTTTTTAAAAAATTTATGGACTCGATGAAATTTATTTATCTGATTTAAAAAAATTTGATTCGCGTGTAATACCAATTATATAACTTACACGTACATATGACTTTAGTTGCAGATCAAAACATGTGATAAAATCAAGTATAATAATAACAAATTGGCCAGTTTTTTTTTGTTTCGAATTTATAACCAAATGGCTAAGAGAAAATGATACAAAGCATTTTTAAATAAATAACTTTTAACCAGTCAGCTGAAAATGCAACTTCTAATTAAGGGTAGAGCTAATGACGTCATATATCATATGGCTTTTTTTTATAAATAATTAGTTGTACACGTTTGTCGATCAAATAACTTTTTTTTTCTCCCCCCAAATCGAAAAAGAAGAACCAAAGAAAAAACGAAAAAGACTAGCCGAATGGCGGTTATCGCCACTTGTTGTCATTGTAGTTATTGGATTAAACTTTGACTTTGATTTATAGAAAATCAATCGTCGGAACTAAACAATAATGTAAATTTAAATAGGCTAATGAGCTTTGAATTTTTTTTAACATATTTTTTTATTGTCATAATAGACTGCATTAAAAGAACTATCATCAAGAGTTAATATTACCTTGTTACTAAAAACCATTAAGGAAGTACAACCGCTGGTCTTTCGAATCCATTAAGACCGAGAAAACTTTCAAAAGTTTTAATAAATTATTATCAAAAACAACGTAAGCATAATCATTTGGTTTTCCTTCCAACAATAATGTAATGCTTAATTAACACATAGAATTTTTATTTTTATTTTATTTTTTATTTTTATTTTTATTGACATATGTTTAATTATAAAGCAACTTGTGATGATCATATAAACATACATTTTTCAATCAAAATTCAAAAACAAAAAAACTCCTTCACCCTAGAGTATACATGTTGTCAAAATTGATTTGGCTTTGACTCAATTATTCATATGTTTTCATATGACTCAATTAATTGCGTCAAAAAGTCTCCTGATTGAGTCAAGTGATTATTAACCACATGTATACTCTGGAGGATATCGAAGAAGATCATATTATAAATAATATAGATTCTTATTGATACTAAAAACAAAAAGTAGATCGGAAGGTAATATGATGGACCATACAGGAAAAACACTATTCCATTATATCTACAAGTTTGTGAGAGATTAAACAAAAAAAGAATTATAAAAGTTCAAACAATGCACGTAATTTTATTATTATTTTTCAATTAATAAATAGTTTTTTATTGCATTTAGGATCTGCTAATAGAGACAATGATCAGCTGCTTAAAAAAACCATACTAATACAAACAACAATATAAAACTTTAAGAATTAATTGTTTTATTTTGAAATTCAACAAATAAAACACATTTATAATTATTTTTTATTTCTTTAGAACCCCTCCATGGAAGTTGGGAGAAGGCAACCATTTTTTATTCTATAATGAAACAAATAATAAATATAAATATGAACCAAGTCCAGATAGATTCATTTTCATTGAAGATGATGATTACATATACTCAGTATTTTGTCTGAAAATAATGCAATAAAAAATGACAAGTATATAAAATTTTTATTATTATTGTCTTCAAGTATTAAAAGAACTTATTTATATTTATTTATATGTAGATTAAAGTTAATAATCACAATATTGTCACCGATTAAATTTAGGAGAGCGTGTTTTAATTGGTGATAACAATTATTTTTATTTTTGCATGGATCAGAATGAATAAGGGATCAACGAATTGATTTTGGTATTAGCGAATAATTTTGTTTAAAGAAGATAAAAGTTTTAAATAAAATATTTCTATTATTTATTTAGTTTTATTTAGTCGAAACTAATTAACTTATAACAAAGTTACTTTTACATTAGGTCGAAATCAAGTTCTTTATATACATGTTCTTTACATATTAGCCCGAATTGGGCGATTCCACCCGGTTTGGGCGATTCCACCCAGTCTGGGATAATCGTCATTAATCTCTACTAAATAAAGTTAAATAAATATGAATGTGCTACGGATTAATTAAATAGACGGGACGTAATACGAATTCAGATGATAATAATTAATAAATAATTAGAATTAATAAAAAATAGAAATAAAATTTAATTTGACCCGAAATTAAAGGATTCGGCCAAATTATCTTCGTCATCGTTTAATTCTGGTAATAATAATAATAATAATAATTTTCTAAACCCAAACTATCTGCTAAACCAAGATTGTGTATTGTGAGATAGTAAATCTTGAACCTATCAATTGCCCGATTAATATTGACCAATTAGAATGAACTTGCTACGGAATTCATGTAATATGCTAAATATTACATCATGATTAATGGCCATCTTTCTATAGTTGGCTCAGTCTAAAGACCTCCTAAATTTTGGGCTAATTTTAAAGGTATAAAAGTCATTTTCTGTCCTATCTTTTAAAAAATTAGCTCTATTAGTTGATAGAATATGTATTTAGTTTTAATGTAATAAAGAGATTTTCTCAAAAAAATTATTTGTTGTA